TAAGATTAAACAATGAAATCGACGAATGAAGGTGGTTTGCACGGTTTACACAAATGAGGACGGTTTTTATTTGATCACTCCTCTATATATATATATATATATGAGAGAGAGAGAGAGAGAGAATGTTCAAACGAGAATGCTAACTATTTGAGAAAACAAGAAAAGGGTCGTCAATGTACAAAATCACATGTGATTTCACATTAACGCCAAAGAAACGGAAGCGAAAAACTTTTGAACTTGTAGGATTTTGTATGTGAATATATATATATACACACACACACATATGTAAACATATATATGTGTGTGTGTGTGTGAATCATATATAATTCGTACATTAACGACATTTTTCTTGTTTTCTTAAATAGTTAAAGTTCTCGTTTGAACCTGCATATATATATATATATATATATATATGTGTGTGTGTGTGTGTGTGTGTGTGTGTATAGGGTCAGGGTCGGATTTAGGGGAAAACCTCAAAAAATAAAAAACTGAGAAATATTCTGATAATCATTCATTTGTACCTTATGCATATGTGCATACAAGTAATTTATAAGCAATTTGTCCGGTATGCACAAGTGCGTAAAACAAAAAAACAGCTTCAATTATTTATATGCACATGTGCACACGATCCAAATAAACGTTTATTAGAGTGTTCTTCATTTTTTTCATTTTTTTGAGGTTTTCCTTTGAACCTCTCTCTCTCTCTCTATATATATATATATAACTTTCCATTTTTGAATAATCAAGTCTTTGAACTATTTTTTTTAAATAAAAAAAACATTAAACATTCTTATTTTGAATGATTAAATCTCAGAACATTTTTGAATAAATAAATCATTGAACTTTTAGAAAATGATAACTTACATCATTTTAACCCCAAAAAGCGGCTACCTATAACTGGTGAGGAATATTTTAAAGAAAAAGAAAAAGAAAAATTAAACCAATTTTACCATTCCCAAACCCTACGTCATTCAAACCCTCCCCCACAACGGCATCGCTCCCCCTCGCCACTTCTTGTCACTCCCCATCATTGTATGTTCTCCATACAGCACATCATCGTCATTGTCCCCTGCCATCAATCTCTTTTTTTATCTGTTTTTTATCTTTCAATTTTCCCTCCTTTACAACAATTTAATGGAACAATTATAAACATGTCAAAAAGACGGAGATCAAAAACCAAAAAGATGATAAAATAGAAGGAGATCGATGACAAAGTCCCGAATGCCCCTTTCCTTGCCGCCAAACCACTAGGAGAGTCAGCAAGCTAGCTTGCCTGCATTCTAGAAATGGTAGCTTCCGCGCCCTTCCTGCCTACTGAAATGGATGTGAATGATCGTGATAGCTCTTAAGGCCAAAGGTAGTGATCGATGGTGATAGAGAGTGGACAACGATGAGGTGACA